CTTAAAGATAAAAAGAATATGATTTTTCTTGATCAAACACATTCTCAATGGACTGAATAGTCTGGCGTTAGCATTAGCTTAGCTTCTCGGGACAAACTTGAGTTTAATCCAGTTGGGGCGGGTCCTAGCTCAAAAGTGGCCAAAATGACGTGCGCTGACATGCTTGCAATACCACCCCGGGCCGATGGGGGTGGACCCAGAAGAAGAATTAGCCAATGCTAACATATAGCATTGGCAGACCTCTCAAAAACGTCTTTACAGGATGGACCAAAAGTTGGCTCTTGGCCCAAAGCTCCGTTCCACATGTGTGTCAATGCTGAGGGGGGTGAATTTTTTTGGACCACTCTAGTTTACTCACGGAGAATTTTTGAAGTCTCTCGTTCAAATGAATGGAGCTGCGCCGGCTGACGCATGCGCAGATGCGTTTTTTCACAATTTTCTTGTGGGCGGGACAACTCGCGGCCATCTTGGATTTGTCCATGAAAGCACTTTTAATGGCCAACTCCAATGAACGGTGGAGATAGACGTGACTCTGTCCGTTATTATATACAGTCTATGGTTTAATCACGGCAGATAACAAGGTTTCAAACAAACGTCTGTGGCAGATCTAACGCCTGTATTGTATCATAACAGTCGTGTTCATAACTCAACAGTAAAGCATAATGCAGGTACGTACCACAGACACATGTGACGTGTTCGCTCTGGGTCCAAGATGAGTGGTTCAAGCTAACATGAGTTCTGTGCATTCACGGCCGTGGCTCGGGGAAAAAGGCAGCGAAGCATTCATCGAAATCGTCTTCAAATATCTTCACAAGTTTTGTCTTGAATAAAACTTGTGTGTGGCTATTTTTATTTCCTTGTGTCAAGCCCTGTCGCTGCCATTCGTCTCGGAACTACACTACCTATTTATGCCTAAACTTAACCAGCCATTCCCATAAAATAGCACAACCCACCCTTAACCCTAACCTTAACCATCTTACTTGGACACCTAAAACTTAACCAGTCACCACTTAAGGACTTATTAGGCAAGGCAAGGCAAATTTATTTATAAAGCACCACTCATACAGAAGCAACCCAGGGTGCTTTACAGGCACAGAGAGAACATTGGCAAACAATAAAACATAGGAATAAAAAAACATAAAAAATGAAATATAAATATATATATACACACATCATACACAACTAGGTACAAATACATAAACATGAATCTGTAATAGTTAAAAATACTGTATATACATACACACATATGTACACATATACATACACATACATATTCACTGAACTTCTGGATGAATCCAGTAGCCACAAGCTCATTTACATAAACCTTCACACAGACGTGTGTTGGTTGCACATGGTTTGCTGACATAGCATTAGCCGGAAGCACTGCTAGCTACTTCCACGGGTCTGTTTTGGAGAGGTATCTCGAGATACCGCCCCAAAACAATAGGTATCTTTCTTTCTTTCTTTTTTTAACTGTACTTTTTTTTTTTACTCTACTATGCTCCGTAAGAGTCAGATGAAGACAAAGAAATCCTTTTTTTTGTCCCACAGTGGGGGAAATTTCAGTGTTGCATCACAAGCTACAGAACAGTAGGAGTAAAGAGCACACAGCACAAGAGAAATTAGTAATAACTCTATACTAAAATAAAATCTTGATCAAATAAAAATCTAGAATAAAATACAACACTAGCATAAAAAGATGCAGTTTAACACATCTATCTTTAGCATGATGAAGAAGCAAGACTAAAACACCTGACTTTGGGATAATAAGGAGCAAGTATAAAATGCTGTATATTCTAGTGCAAGTGATATATTGTTGTATGTATACGTCTGTACATGTTAGCAGCATGAGGCTCTGGGACAATGTGACTCAGTAAAGTGACAGGGATACATGTGGTTCATATTGCACATTGTGACATTAGAATGACCTTCTATTTTGCATCTACAAGTCCAGAAAGTGTCTTCTCTCTGGCTAACTTACAAGTCATATTCATGTAGAGTAGCAGCAAAAACATCTGTAATGATTTATAATGAGTTTTATCATATTGAGGTATACCATGCAGAGGTAAAAGGGGCAGAATGGTGGCACGGTGTTTAGTGCATATTCTTCACGCCAAGAAGATTCTGATTTCGATTCCACCTTCAGATGTGGCCTTTTTGTGTTTAGATTTTCTCCCGGGGTCAGTGTAGGTTTTACTCTGAGGGCTCTGGCAGTTATAAACATGTTTAATAGTTCAGGGTGAATGAGTGTGACTGTGGGACAAGAGATGCAAATAGTGTTTTAACATGCCCTGTCCCAACCAAATGAAACAATACATATAAAATCAATTCCTGAGAAATAACACCTAGATGGAAAAAGGCGGGTTGTGGAGCATTCAGAAAAGTCGCACAATGCACCTCCGATATACATATATTTTAAATACAAAGTTTACAAAGACAGTCTCCAGATCCTAATGGATGGGAAATATTTTCTTAGGAAGAAGCTAAGAACCCTCCTTTCATCTCGATATAGATCCCCTCAAAGGCCCAAAACGTCTACGTTTGCTGTAGAACTTGAATCAGAAGTGAAGAAGATGACAAAGTCTGGAATCGTGTCTTTAATTCAGACAGAAGACATGTTTTATTGTAGATGGTAGAGACAGCAGGAACAAAGATGTTACAGAATGTAAGTGATATTATACAGCATGGAGGAATGGACACCGTCCAATCAGCATTTGCCACTGTGCCAGTAGCTTCAACCTTGAGATAACCAAAACATGCAGTGGAAAAGTACTGCCTCGTGCATATTGTTAGAATGATGAGTAAGCTACATAATGTTGCCGACATGTTGTAGGGAGATCACTGCGGTATGCGCTGTGTGTATTATAGGTCCAGCAACCAGAAACTTTTCTCCAGTTGTTGCAAATGGGGAGCGAGGCAGCAACAGTCACCAGGTATTATGAAAATATATTATTTCTTAAGAAACATGGACTTGTTTTTCAGTCAATCCATCAAGATAATTTATTTAAAACCCGCGTACAACACAATTTACAATAATAACAGAAAAACAGACAGTTTTGAACAGGGGTTGGATGAAGAAATTGCTTTTAAACCTCCAACCAAATTATAGCAAAATCAATACTTGTTTTTTATTGACGTCTCTGTTTAATTGCAGATTATAATGTCCTAAAGTACATTTCATCAGACCAGCACCTCCAAAATGCACTGGGACGGTTTGAGCCAAGTGTGAAGCGGCTGGGATGAAAAATCAGCACCAATTCTTTGCCACGATTCTGGACCAGAGCAAGGCCTAGGTTCTGGAGTGTTGAAATAAACCTTGTTCCCTTCATGTGGTGGGGTGGTTCTCCCTCAAGTGGAAGATTCAACATTTCTCTGGTCTTATTCTCCGGAGTGAGGGAAGGATAGGGCATGGGATTGACATAAATATGTATAAGTACCAGATTGATGTGATGATGAACGAAAATTTTCCAAAATCACAACTAATTTAGGTCAATTTGTTGCTTCGGCAGAGACAGTATGTGATTTATTTCAAACTTGATGGTCTTTTATACTATTGTTTACTATTAGTCATTGAGTAGCGTGAATGATATGATTTAGTTGCCTCTAGCCAAGTCTATATCTTTCCAAGCATTCATCGAGGCAGTCCTTGTGGAGATTTTTGTTGTTGTTGTTGTGTTTGTTCATGACATTTGGGAAATAACTCTAAGGACAAGATTCACTACTCACACAACACCGTAATGCTTTGTGCCTTAGGGGTAGCTGCAGGTAGTGAGCGAGTTACAACGATTCATTGCTGCCGTTTGTTTTGATAGTGAGTAAAGCTACTGCCAAAAAATGGAATAACAGATTTTTGCTCCAACAAGTGAAACTGTGATCTAACATTTCACTGCATCAAAAACTAAATTTCAGACCATTTTGATTAAATAATTCCATAGTAGAGATTTGTGTTGATGATATTTATATTATGGATCTCACCGTCTACTACACTGTATATTTTGAATGGGAAAATGAAAAGCTCATTCACATGTTTTCTCCTTTAAGGCTGATGACATGCAAGCACAGCCTTGAAAACAGGACAAATAAGTAAACAGCCCATTTTTCCTGGATTTGCATGGAAGAAACATGGCTGCTACAATCTGATATTACAGTGAGAACCTGCAGCAATAACCAAAGCTGAACATTTCTAAATCTTGTAGAATAATGTGATTTTATCAACTGTAGATTAGAGACAAGCCTGTGCTCTCTTTGGATGCTTCGAATATCCTCCAATATCTCTAATTAACTCGTTCTCAAACCTGAAGGCAAACGGAGACATTTCATTTATAGTGCTTCAGAGATAAAACGAAGTGCTCTTGTGACTTCAGAGTTTGAACCATTGGGGTGCTCCGATAGACTTGTGCTGGATCCCTCAGGCCATGGCACATCTGATGTATGCTCTATACATAAAGATTAGGTTTGGAGAGTTTTGAAATTGCCAGCTGGAGTTAGTTCTTGCAAAGCGGCCTGTGCTGTGAAGAGTGAAATGCAGAGGCAGACAACAACAGAACAACCCTTTGGCTCAAACCGAAGCAACATCTGTTTGAGACGGTGGAGTACTGTTATCCAATTACAAAACACAACGGGAAAACTCTTAGACAAACTATAGTTAATTGTATGGCGAGATGGAGATGATCAGTGCTGGGCCTGGCGAGTATCTGTTCTCACAATCACTCTCTGGCTTCTTTTCATGCATCCACGACATGAATGAGTGTGTTCAAAGCAGGATTAATGAGTTCTATATCTTTCTACCTATCAATTTGACTGTATGGGAGATAAAAGCATTGCTTATATCAAGAATGATCGTCTCCATCCAGGCAAGAAGTCTCAGATATCAGGTGTTAATGATTTAAAAAAAGGAAGCTGTTTGTCTGATTACATACTATTACAACTAATTAAAAATTAAAAATGCTTGGCCTTGTTTGATGGTACTGCTGGGCTTGTTCTCTGCTCAGGGGGTTTACCGGTCCAGATGACCACGGTAGATGCCCTGGACAGAACCCAGACCCCCTGCTAGAACAGTGGGTTCTAGCTTGTGTCCTGTTTGGCTACCCCATGGAACTGCCTCAAATCCCACCTCCAGACCCCTGCCACCCTCCCGGGACATCTCAGGACATCTCCCTTGGAAGAAGGTTGTCATGGAGAGGAATTTTTGTTCATTACTTTGACTTTTATTTTGATGTATTGGCTCTTTTGTGTTTGCCTTCATGTCTATTCAGTTGATGGCAGGTAGCCCCATCCCCCCTCCCTGAGTGCATAATGCATAATTTAAACCCTTATCCTTGTGTTTCCTCACAATTACATTTCAGATTCCTAAAAGTTGTTATTTTGAGTTTTGTTCATTAAATCTTGCATTTTTTCACTCCTAAATTTGAATTCTTTTGTTTTCATCTTGTGACAAGGAAGGATCAGCTGTTATAAAAATCCAACACTCAATGTTAACACGATTTGGCATGACTACATTTGCCAAACGTGTGCTGCTTTTACGTCGTATAACAATTATGAATGCATGTACTGTAAGTGTATTCATGATTACTGTTCCAGAGTTTGAGTGCCTGAGAGGTAAAGTAACAAGATGCTTTTGAAAGCGTCAAAAGGCTTCATCTTCTCAGCACGACACGTGTAGACAGAACCTTAACGTGGTCAACACCGATGAGATTATTTTTTAACACTGCACTCTTATGCTTTGGCATCGCACTCACCGACAACAGTCTCAGTCACACTACAAGCACAAACAAGCACTCACCCGCATTCTAATATAGATGAAGACAAAAAAACATGAGCATGGGGGTTAGTGAAACTAGCTGAGGGAGCACTATCCGAGGAACCATCAGCACAACCGTGTTAAAACTCCCTGCACAAAGGTACGGAAGGCTAGGGTCGGGCCTGTCAGGTCAGTCTAGTTCAGGGGTCGGCAACCCGCGGCTCCGGAGCCGCATGCGGCTCTTTAGTGCCCCTTGAGTGGCTCCTGGAGCCTTTTCAAAAATGTCTGAAAATGGAGTGGGAGGGGTATATTTTATTTCTAGTTTCAATGTGGTTTCTGTAGGAGGGACAACATTCTTAACGTTTTCCAATGCAGTAAAAATGTGCATAAGAAATATTTAATTTTAACATTTGTGTCAACTGAGATGTGCGTCATATCCTGCGACGCGCTGTTACGCGGCCCCGCGCCGGGCGGCCGCTGTTGTAAACAAACCGGCATGTGCCACATGAGTCCGCATAAATCCCAAAGCTAAAAAGGGAAATAGTTGATAAGAACCAGGAACTCAAAGAAAAATGGACTGTAATATTTGGCGCTCATTGACTCAATGAGGAAGGACTGCTTCATGTTTGCTTTGTAATGAGAATATATCGAAGAACAAAAAGAGTCATGTGGAAAATTGGAGCTGACCCCAGTTTGGAGAGAAACAGTGCGATCGCAGTTATTCTGGAGCTGATTCATCTCCAAACTTCTACTGCTGAATTTTGTTGCAACACGAGGAACAAAAAAGTGCAAAACACCATTCGGGACATTCAGCTCCAGCCAACTCCAGCCGTGACGACGTGTGACGTGATCGATATAAACAGACAGTGCTGTAATGCAGGTATATGAACTCTGAGCCAAAAACGGATTTGTTTACTGTATTTCTACAATTGCATGAATGCAACAAAAGGAAAGTTAAACTTAAAGCATATATGGTATAGCAGAGTAGTCACATGGTGCGTCATTCTCTTGCACTACAGTGAAAATGTATATATATATAATAATCATGAATGCATATTATGTATTTGTAGCTATACTTACTCATGTTGATGCTAGGCTAATACAGCTTACAGCCTGTGGTACTTTCATATAAGCCTTATACAAGGCAGTCACGTTTATGCGGCTCCAGACAGATTTGTTTTTTGTATTTTTGCTCAAATATGGCTCTTTGAACTTTTTGAGTTGCCGACCCCTGGTCTAGTTGGTGCGGGAGGCTAGGGTCAGTCTTGTTAGGTCAGTCTAGTTGGATCGGTCTGGAAGAGAAAATCCTACAGGACTGGTTCCATCCTTCTGATGAAGATGGCTAGTAACTTTAGCTGAAGCCACAAAATAGGGCGGCCATATTCTGAAAGTATAATTCTCTGACCAAAATAGATAACTTTAAAGATCATTTGGTGGATTTTTGCCCCCTCCTTTTATAAAGAGCATTGTGTTTTACCCATCAGTCATCTCACCCGTAACCGCACACCAGTCTGTGAGCATGCACCACTCTGACACTATCACAGAAGCCAGTGTCTCCCCACAGACCAGCCCTGTCAGACCACCGCATTTATCCTCTCTGTACCGTCCAGGTCCATGAGGTGTTCAAGGACATACAGGACACTTTAGTAGGCCATGGCTTTAAAAGACTTGCTCTTACTCTCACTTTAGATGACAGGGTGTTCAGACCGAACAATAGAAACGTCTAAAAGGCTCAATTATTACATTTTCATTAACGCTTCAATGTTCACTAATTTTTTTATTTTCTAATATGTAGAAGTATTTACAAAAATGTGGTTTTCCCCTAGTTTTAATTTAATTTATAGGCCTGTACCTAATGTTTGAGATCCAGCTTGGTGGTAAAATATCAAGTAATAGAGAAGCCCCATTGAGGTAGATTTCAGTTCCAAGCTCCACGTAGATACAATGACAAAGAGATCCACCAAATGGTTGAGGAAACCAATAAAGGGTTAAACCATGTCCGTAAAGATAAACAGGTGGCCACATCACATGCAGTCCAGATTTGTATATGTTGCAATAATAATGCATATTGTGTCACAAAAAAAAACAAAGAAAAATCTATGCAGCCCACGCAAGGGTCTTCAACACTTCTTCCAGATTGCTGAGCGGTTGAGAGTCATATCAGAGAGTGAACCTGTAGTGTGAGTCCTGATTTGGACCAGTCCAGTTCTCAGGTCTCTGCACTGGCTTCCTGTGGCTTAAAGAATAGACATTAATTCAGCTCAGTTTCTCCATGGCCTCGCACCAAAGTACAATAGTGACAGTGTCGAAAGAACCAACTCAGACTCTGAGGAGCACAAGGACGGCCTCCGGCTGGTGCCCAGAGTAAGGACTAAAGGCTGCATATCAGATTGATGCAGCAACAATCAGGAACAGTCTTGAAAATCCTGAAAATGTGAGACAGGCTTCTACTCTGACAATGTTCAAATCCAGGTTAAAAACTATTTAGCTTTATGATTCTAATGCCTTATATGCTTGTTTCAATCTTGTTTGGTTCAGCACTTTGAGTTGCCTTGTGTATGAACTTTGCTTTACAAATAAACCTGCCTTGCCTTGTCTATTATAAATAAAAGAGGGTTGACATATCTCACTCCACGTGCACTGAACGTGCTTTACTCGAATACGTTTAGCTTTTACACAATATTCACATGTTCATAGATGCACCTATGTATGTGTCTCTCTCTAAGCTTATTTTTCTTCTTCCAATTCTGACTCATCGGGAACACCATTTTTGTTCATTACTATTTTAACGTTGACCCCTGCCTTGCCTCTTCCTCTGTCTGAGTGTGCACGCTCTGTCATTTCAAGTACAGATGATGGAATTGCAAACATTAGCGCAGATTGGTATTTAACACAAGTCTATTTCACGCTGGAGATTGACCTGTGCATGGAGAGGATACACACACACACACACACACACACACACACACACACTCAGACACTCAGACAGGTCCTGGACGTCCAGGCAAGGTTAATGACAAACACTGCTGTCCCGCTGTGCTGTGTACTGTCATTATGTCCCAGCCATCTCTTTCTCTCTCCCTCTCTCTCTTTCTCTCTGTCTCTCTTGGTCTGTATCTATGTCTCTGTCTCTCTCTCTCACTCTTTCTCTCTGGGTCTCTGTCTCAATGTCTCACTCTCTGTCTCACTATCTCTTTCTTTCTTTCTCTGTCTCACTTTCTCTTTGTGTCTGTTTATGTCTCTCTCTGTCTCTTTACCTCTGTCTCTCCTCTCTGTCTCTCTCTCAGCCTCTGCTTCTCTCCACACGTCTCTTGCTCTTTTGTTTTCTTCCAGAACACAGGAGATGAGCAGTTTCAGTCACTTATTTGCCATGCGCTTGTGTCATCATTGAGGTGTTTCACAAATAGAACATAGAAGACGAGGGGAAATAAACCGAAAACATGTCAACATGCAACAACAACAAGCATTACGTACCTCAGATGTCGAGCAACAAATAAGTTTTCCATGCAAAGATAAATGTCAGTGTTGCATCACCAGTTACCAAACAGTAGGAATGGTGTGCACACAGCAACTCAATATTCAAATTAAATTTAATCTCTAACTTTATTATTCTAAAGAAGCAAATATATAATCTCTAACTTTAGAATAATAAAGAAGCAGTATAAGTAAGAAAATAAAATAGTGTATATCCTAGTGCAAGAAATATATACTGTAGTAATATATATGTATACATCTGTGCATACATCATATGAGGGTAAGTGGCTAAGTAAATAGTGGATAGTGGACAAATGTGTTTCTATATTGCACATTCTGACATGATTTCAATGTGTTGCACAGATCCATGATGTGTGAGGTCATGTTCGTTAGTCCTCATTGTTCGTTGTACAGTCTGACAGAAGCAGGAAGGAAAGACCTGCAGAACCTCTCCTTCACACAGCAAGGGCCATGAATTAAGGAGTATTCACAATTACAGCATTGACAAAAATATCCCCTACAGCACAATAAACAGGTAAAAATCAGAATTTGGTTCAAAAGTTCATTTATTTCTATGATCCATCCATCCATCCATTTTCTTCCGCTTTATCCGTTGCCGGGTCGCGGGGGCAGCAGTCTAAGCAGAGACGCCCAGACTTCCCTATCCACACACACCTCCTCAAGCTCGTCCGGGGGGACCCCAAGGCGTTCCCAGGCCAGCTGAGAGACATAGTCCCTCCAGCGTGTCCTGGGTCTTCCCCGGGGCCTCCTCCCGGTGGGACGTGCCCGGAACACCTCCCCAGGAAGGCGTCCAGGAGGCATCTAGAACAGATGCCCGAGCCACCTCAACTGGTTCCTCTCAACGTGGAGAAGCAGCGGCTCTACTCCGAGCTCCTCCCGTGTGACCGAGCTCCTCACCCTATCTCTAA